AAGAAGGTCGAAAAAGAGAGTCCGTCTTACGGTGACAATAAGGTAAGACGATGGGTCCATTGGAAAATTAATGTTGTTGGGGAAGCTTAAAACCAAAGATGTAAAGTCGGCAGCGGCATCTGTTACATTTGTGAAGGTTTTGCCCGTTGATGATTTCCAGCAAACCGGAAGGGCTGCATCCTTTACTGAAGTTAAGTTCTTTCCATTGAAGTAATCGTTTATCTAGGGAAAAAGAAAAAAACAATGTTTATTTACAATTGGTTGTAAAAAAATGTCTATCATTTTTGTTAAGCTAAGATTTATCTCATTCAAGCAACATATAAAAAATCAAAAAGAAATCGTAAACTTTAATCATTACATTTATATTGTCCATTTTCATTCCGGTTTGTAATTTGTTTGTCTGCATTCCTTCGAATATAGTTACAAAATTAATAAAGGGAAACTGCAGTTTTACTCCACTAACTTAGAGTGTTTCTCATTTTTTTTCCAGTAAATTATTGGAGTCCAAAATTGGTCCAGTAACACTTAATTTTAAAAATTATTGGACTAATTTAGACTAAAATTTAAGAAATATTGGACCAATTTCGAACCAAATAACTTATGGATTCTGGATAATAATTAATAATTTATTATTTTATATCACATAAAGTTTAATCACTATATTTTTATCTCATATTCATTCAACACTTTCAAATTTATCTTAATCAATCTTTATTATTTACATGCAAGAGTCGCCACCATGCATCAACTTGAAACTCACCAGAGAAAGAAGAGTTGTGTAGGGTTTAGAAGCCAAGTAAGTGTAAGTACTTCCGCTGTCCAAAACTATGTCAAGGCCATTCAAATCATTAGCAGTTTGATTACCAAACTGCAATTCTGCCTTTCCCAAATAGTAGTTGACTCTGAAATTTTAGCAGTTCATCATACATATATATGTATATATATAAAAAAAAAAATAGCCTTAAAAAATGACATTTTTACTCGGTAAATTCGATGTTTTCATTTCGATCACGTAAGACGCACACAAATGACTTACGATTTGGTCGATAGAGGCATCCATACGACCCCCAGAGTAGAAGCAAGCTCTCCCAACATAAGGTAGCCACTACCATTGCTACTAAAACAGTGGCCCACGACATTTTCTGTCACGCCCATTGTTTGCAGTTGGGCTAAAATGGTGGTGTTGCCTTTGCCGAGGCCAAGGATCCCGTCAGCGTATGGTGGATTGTTCGACCCGGACTTTTGGTTGTAACCACATCTACGAAAATCAAAGTCATAAATGAAAGAACAAGAGTAAATTGGTCGAGTTAAGGTTTTATCGGCGGTCTGAAAAGTGAAGAGATACATTGCAAAAAAGTTTAAAGAAAATCCAACGGTAAAAATATTCCAATCGGGATCGAACACTATAATATTTCATTGGAGTTAATACTTTTCTTGGAATTTGATGATAGCAATACCATTTTTTCATTGAATATGTGCAATTTTCGTTGGATTTTTTTTTTAAAAAAAATAAAATCATATTTCAACGATTTGAAAAATCTACCATTTGATTTATCAAAATTCGTACAAAAGTTCCCTTGGAAAATTGGAAAAATTGTTTTTTTGTCCACTAATTTAAAGTGTTTCTCATTTTTTCCCAGGGTCCGAAATTGGTCCAATAACTATTTAATTTCAGGCAATTTGGTCCAACTTTGATCCCAAATGCTCGAATCTGGCAGTTATTTGGTCCAAAATTGATCCAGTAACTATTAATTATAGACTTATTGGACCAAATTGGCTAATATTGAAGAGTTATCGGACCAATTTCAGATCCCAATAAGTAACTCGGCAAAAATGAAAACGCTTTAAGTTCGTGGGTTAAAACTGCAATTTTCCCATTGAATTACGCTGGAAAATTCCAGCAAAAATAGTTTCAGTTGAAATTTTATCATTTTTTATAGAGGAGTGAGCGGAAATAACCCGAAGGCGAACTGGGGGGACACGTCGGTGCCATTGGGAAACTGAAGATTGACCGTGTCACTAACGAGCAAGCCAAGGGTCGAGGACCCGTCCACATACTTAAGCGAGTAATCGCAGTGCGTTGCGTTTGGAGGGTTCTTTATCTCGGAAATCGATTCAACGGCTTTACACATTGGATTAGTTGCCCGGATTATTTGCACGGGCCTGTAAGGAGGGTTAGGGGCCTGCGAGAAAAGGATAACAATTTAAAAGGACCGACGCGCAATTCTCTAAACGGATTCGATT